AAATCATCAGCGAAAAGCTTGGTTACCACAAGTTGTGCAAGATGGATTCCAAAATTGACAGAGGCCACAAAAATCGCGAATGCTGCAGCGTTGAACTTTTTGGACGCTTACCATAGGATGGTGACTTTACTCGATCCGCATCGTTACTGGTGACGAACATGGGTTAAACATGTGAACTGTGAAACGATTGCCGCCCATTGGGCACAACAAAAACCCAAGAAATGCATGCAAACAATGTCGCAAGGAAATGATGGCGACTGTTTTTTGGGACAGAAAAGGTGTATTTGGTGGACTTCCTGGAAATAGGCACTACAATACTCTCAAAGGTATTGCCAAACTCCAAAAACTCAGAAGAGCAATTCAAAACAAGCGCAGAGGAATGTGAGCTCTAAGATCTGTTGATTCACGACAACGCCCGGCCCCACAACGGCAAATGTCACGTAAAGTTCTTGAATCTTTAAGTGGGGTTTTCCTCTCCGCCGTACAGTCCCGACCTGGCGAGCGCTTCCACTATTCCCAGCAATGAAGAAGTGGCTGGCTATGCGCGTTTTGATGACGACGCACAGTGCAAGAAGAGGTAACGAAGTGGTTGAAGGCGCAGGCGGCCGAATTTCACGAAGGAATTTCCAAGCTCGTACATTGCTACGATAAATGCCTTAATTTGTATGGTGACTATGTAGAAAAGTAGTATTTGAGTGTGGCTTCATCTGTATATAATAAAATTTGTTTCCTATACTTTGTTTATTTTTTTATTCCAAAACGTAATCTACTTTCTGGATAGCCCTCGTATATTAATTAGCATTTGTTATGAAATGGAAGAACTGGCATTAGCAATTTCTAAGAAACAGTCATGCTTCGGCAAGATCTTTGTTAGAGGACTGTAGATCCAATTTGATAAATTTCAGAGCTAAGAAGAGTCTTTCCACACTAGTTTGAGTAGGAGGAAGATCAGTTACTGTTAAGGCTACTTCTTTTAACTTTTCAGGATAGATTTTTATGAGTTCTAAAAGAGGTGTCTCACAACAGCAATCATATTTCTCTATTTCTTCAGAAACTGTGTAGAAATCTTGTTTGTATTTTTTCATTTTTATAATTAAAGGCTCTTGGTTCTTCATTTTCATTTGCTTTGCCTTTTCAATATTACTCAAATATTTCTCAAAATCTAATTCATCACTGGAAGAGGATAATAAAGACTCATTTGCAATGTCTGAAGTTTGACTGTCCTGATTTGAATACAGTAAATTCCAGAAATCAGCAAAGCTTGGGACCAGCTTGTTGGTCCCAAGCTTGCAAGGTTGTGCAGATTTTAGGATTTTGCGGATTTCAGGACAGAAAAGGTAAATCATAATATTCAGACTAAAAATGCAAAATAAATAAGGTGTATTAGATCTTAAATATATAATTATTGCAATAATATATACATATTAAATATTATTACATTATAAACTCATTATATTATTAATTGTATTTATATACATAGATCAAACTTTGCCGATGGAACTACTCTGATATGCCCCTCAAGTCTCCAAACATTTCTGGCGAGAAACTCCAGCAGCCATATTGCTGTCTAAATTTTTGTCTCATTTCGAAATTAGCCAAAATGTCTCCAAAAACACGGTTTTCGCGAATGCAAAAACCACGTTTTGACACACAATTTAAGCTAAAATCTGAAACAAAAAAAAAAATTAGATAGCAAAACTGAAGTTTCTAACCAAAATTATTGAAAAGTCCTGTCACGTATATGTTTACTTAAAAAAACATCTACGAAGGAACATCTAGGCAACAAACGAATACGAACTACGCACACCTTGCTTTATAAATTAACATAACAAACATAAATTCAAAGAATACCGTACAGCGTCTGTTTGAACTTAAAAAAAATCTATGAATTGCACAATTTAGACGGTACGCACTAACCAACAAAAAACTAAATTTCAAAGAATTAAAAAAAAAAAAAAAAAAACAATAACGACAAAAATTCATCTAAAAAAACAATGAACATAATTCTACAAAATAAGAACAAAATAAAAAAATGCACTTACCTGAATTAATGCTTTTCGAACAGCAGAAATACCAATTTCATACCACCTGTAATCACTATTGTATTTATATGACAGCCAGACACACTTCAGAAAATTCATGCTATGGTTCACAAATAAATAAAACTAAAATAATCACAATCCCTACTTCTATCATACACAGTCATTAAAAAATCTCCCAGACCTCTTTCCACACCTTCAATACCCACCCCTCAAAGGAGGCCACGACAATTTCTTTGCCGAACTTCAATTCAACAACTTCCACCATTTTATCTTTCCCCCCTAGCTTCTCAGACACATAGCATGACGTGAACCAACGAACTCCACCGAAAGATTTTTCAACGTCAACAGGGTTGCCATACAATACGCAATCGCACCAAAAAACCAGCGCAGAACACATATCGCCACATTTGGTGAAATTAGGGCGTATATCAGGGTTGTACCTTGCCGATTTCACCTCATGCAAAGATTTCCGGTTTCGGATTCCGGTGTTAGAATCACTGTTGCTGTAAAATTTCAACAGCTTTTCTATATTTTCCCATATATCATACACAATCGTATTGCAATTCCATACGATTCCGCTATAAACTGAGGAGTAGCACCTTTCACCATCTTTCGCAGAATTTAAACTTTTTGCATTACCATCAACGCAACGTGTTTACGTTTTTCAACGTTGCAAGCAGTAAAATCACGAGTGTGTTTCTAATCTGTAATTGTAGTAAAAAGGGCTGAAATCAAAAATATTCTTAATTTATCCACAAAATATCCGAATAAAAAAAGGCAGCACTAAATAATTTTGTTAAATAACAAAGTTCAGAAAATACAACAATATGAAGCGTGAACTTGAAGAAGAGTTGAGTGAATCATCTGCTTTCTTACCTCGATGCGATTAGAGGAAAGAAAACTTTTATCATGATGTCAATAATTTGGTATTCCGTTATGACCATTATTTTCGGTAATTATGACGTCATTATTCAGTAAGTATTTTTTCTTCGATATTTCGTACTCAATGTGGGTTTCGGAACCTATAAACGAATGTTTATATTTTGAGAGGCAAGCGGATTTCAGGAGTGGGGATTCAGGTCAGCGGATTTTCGGTATTTGACTGTACTCCAATTGTTCTCAGAATTTCATTCTTAATGAAAGTTCATAAATAGCCTTCATTGCATTTTTAATTTGTTCATCATCCAACAAAATTTGGTGTTTTGGATCTACATATATTAAACTCAGCAAGATCTCATTGTCTAGCAAACTAGTTTCTCTTTTCTTAATTGAAGAAATGATTCCTTCTGCAATAAGCCTCCATTCAGAATAAGAAACATCACATCTTCCATTCTTGCCTCTGTCTTTTTTTTTTTTTTTTTGGCTATAGACAGTGTAGAAGAAGAGTTCCTATTCTGCAAGATCATTCCACAGTCTTTCTGTTAGTGAAATATTAGGGTTATCCACATCTTCTAAAAAAGTTCTTAATTCTAACAACCTCTTTATCATCAAATATGTACTTTTCCATCGTGTTGCTTAATCAATAATTGCTCCTTTTCCTGCTTGCTACCTAAGAATAGCATCAATTTGGGGAGTTCTTCCTGCTTACCTAAATTTACCATTGAGATTTGTTAACTAAATGAATAAGTTTAATCAATAATGGCAAATATCACATCCATCCTCCTCCCTTATATTTATTTATTAATATGTCAATAAAACAGAAAATAACTATTTATTAATGTGTATAGTTCATAAATAAAAATAATAACTCAGCTTGTCATTAATTGTTTTCTCAATTCACTTTAATTTCATTTCAAATTCAAACTGTCCAACAAAAACTGGAATCAGAGTTGACGTGTTTTTAGCAACTCCAGCTCCGACTGCTTTTACCCCAAAATCTGTCTAACTCCGATTCTGACTCCCTGATTCCGACACCACAGCCATGGAAGGAACTGTAGAATTTGTGTTTATTCATTGCACAAAACATATTCATTCACATGTAGGTCATCTGTATCATACTCTCTTATATTATATTCATTGATGTTTCCATTGAGATGGAATGTAGCCTCATCACTGATCACCAGTCTTTCAGTATGTCTTTGATGAGGCAAACATTCCTGCATTTTACTGATAGAGTTACGGTGCTTTAACTTAATGTCCAATTTTAGTCCTAGTATGAGTCATAAGTTATGCAAGATACAATGTGGATTTTTCATCGGATATATCATATTGTGGGATAAGACACGTGCATTTTTCTACCAGTCCACCTTTTTGGTTTTCTTAGATTCTATTTGAATATAGTCCTGAAATGCTTATTGTCTCCTCTAATGTCTGTGACCATCCTGATTTTCTAAGCAACACAGAAATAATTAGCAGATTCAAGCTGCTTCAGTAAGAAATGCAGTTCTTATGCAGTGCATACTTATAGAAATTAGTTCGAAAGGTTTTAACTGCAAAATCATAATAGGTTCTGCATAAGCTTATTCCAACATAAAAAATGCTTTTTCCTATTTGATGTGGCCATCTTGAGACAGTATACCACTAATGTTACTAACCGTACTTGGCTACACTAAGCTTGCATAGGCAGAAATTTACAATCTTACATCTTTATTTCCTTCAGCAATTAACCACTTATCATTCATCACTTCTACAAGAGGCTTTTTCACAAGCATTTGAATCATTAAATAATATTCATCTATCTAGGCATTTAGATATATATGATCTCTATTTCTCTTTTTTACTTTTTAAAATACCACTTGAGGCATTTCTACATGCAGTTAGAAATGCAGTCTGATTTGTGAATTCCTCAAATTAATGCAAACCTCAGGAACACATTTCAATACTTTATTGAGGAAAAAATCCACCTTAATTGAACTGCATAGTTAAACCACAGTATTTTCAAAGAGAAATAGCTTAATAGCTGTAATGATTTAACAGATAGAAGGAAAGATAGTTATTTTCCCTTTTGAAAGCTCAGTATAATAATAGATTAAGCTAACATTAGCTAAAAAATACACAAAATAACGGAAAAAAAATACCTATTTTATGCTGTTAAATTTACAAGAAGTATGGAATCAATTTTAAATATTAATAACTTATTACGTATATAGTTCCTTTAAACATATAAAGAATTTAGAATTTAAAACTGAAATAAAGATTGGAATGGCAAAACTTATAAGTGGTATTTCATATTAAAAGAAAAATTTAAAAAAGCATACCTTTTCCAACTTCCACACTCTCATATTTTTTCTTTGAAACACCTGTTTTAAATACCATAATATTAAAAATCTTGCACTAAAATATGCTGGCATCCATAGTTATAAAACAAACAGATCACTACTCGACAAATGTATGAATGAATGTAAAGAAAATTGATGAAAATACTTGCTTTATCATGAGTTACAGAAATTTTAAAAACGGTATATACCAAGCAAGGCTGAAAAATATTATAAAATACAATTCGTGTAATCATTCATCAGAAAATAAGTGATTCGAAGTGACATATCATACTGTTGACGCTAGAGTTCAGTAATGATGTTCTTTATTTTTCCAAAGCTTCTTAAACTGTATGGGCTTTGTAAGAGAAAATGAATTGCAATGGACAATAATACATTTCCCCTAAGCAATCTACATATCTGTGTGTATGAAGGCCACATGATTGATTAATGTTTTATATATACGACATAACATCAGTTTAATCCCTCAATCTAGTTTACAAAAAATTGGTGTTCTGGTTTCATTTGGGAAAAGAATTGCATTTAAATCCATCACAAACTCATCATGAGAGTTTTATTCTTATGTCTCAAACATTCACTTATGTTTTTGTTTTAGAAAGCAAGATTAATTTTGTATGCTAATTTAACAACATGCAATACTGAATCCTGATGCTACTTTCACAATAAGTCTTTTTTTATGGATGAAAAAAAATGTGACAGCCAGAATTTTTTTTTCCCTCTTCAAATCAGAATACACTTGAAACTAGAACAGTTGAAATTAAATGCAATGCTAGTCTATATTATTTACACGAACCTGGACCCACATGTAAATAAAATAGACTCCTGTTGTCTTTAATTTTAAATGAGTGAAGACATACCCATTTTAAGTATTCATACTCTAATAACTCTAAAGGACAGCAGAAATATGTTACCTTTCTGTCTTCTTTCATATACACTTTACTCTCTGGAGGAGGAGAGATAAGAGTCAAAAATGAGAAGAAACCTCCTTCACAAGCTGCCTAAACACAATGGAAACTTACAAGGGTAATCTTGATATTTTAGCAAAAAAGAACTTGGTTGAAATAAAGCAACCTAATTCAACATCCAGATAATAAAAAAAATCAGTAATCAAATGTAGTTGCAGCCTGGGACTTTTTGCCTTGTATCTCTAACACATGAAAATTTTAGAATTGATTGCAAGGTCTGTGAATATTCAAATGGTTCATTTCAATTATTTGACGACCGTTGGATGTTTTTTAGTCCAATAATAGGTATTCACATATTCAATATATATCACATATTCTTTTCTAGCCATATTTTGTTCCTGTGAAATGATTTTGTAAATACTTTAGATAAAATCTCTTAAACAACTCTGAAAAAATATATTTCTGTGATAAGGTTAATTTGCAGCTGAATGGAAGCATTGATACACACTAAAGAAAACACACAATATTTTTTTTTTTATGTCAAACTTACTTTGTTTGAATTTTCTGTGAAGCAATAACACAAATCCAGATAGCACTATGATAACAAAAACACTAGAAATGACTGGAAAAATTAATTTTTCATGATCAGTCAGCTTTTCAATAGTTGTTCTATTAATATTTTCTTCATGATCTAAAATAATAAATAAATGATTAACAATAAGTGCAAAAAATAATAAAAGATATTAAAATTACAGTGTATATCAAATTATGACATTTACAATGAAGTGGCAAAAGTCATGGGATAGCAATATGCAAATATACAGATGGCAGTAGTATCGCATAGAAAATGTATAAATGCGAAGTGCTTTGGCAGGGCTTTCATTTGTGTTCAAGTTATTCATGTGAAGAGGCTTTGACGTGATTGTGGCTGCACGACGAGAATTAACAGACTTTAAATGCGGAATGGTAGTTGGAGCTAGACGCATGGGTCATTCCATTTTGGATATCGTTAGGGAATTCAACATTCTGAGATCCACAGTGTCAAGAGTATCTAATTTCAGGCATAACATCCCACCATGGACAGCGCAGTGGCCGACCACCTGCACTTAACGACCAAGACCAGCGACGTCTGCGTAGAGTTGTCAATGTTCACAGACAAGCAACACTGCGTCAAATAACCGCAGAAATCAATATGGGACGTACGAGGGACGTGTCCGATAGGACAGTGCGGCGAAATTTGCCTTCCTTGGACTATGCCAGCAGAAGACCGACTCGAGTGCCTTTACTGACAGCACGACATCGCCTGCAGCGACTCTCGTGGGCTCGTGAGCATATCGGCTGGTCCCTAAACGAATGGAAAACCGTGGCTTGGTCAGATGAGTCACGATTTCAGTTGGTAAGAGCTGATGTAGGGTTCGAGTGTGGCGCAGACACCACGAAGCCATGGACCCAAGTTGTCAACAAGGCACTGTTCAAGCTGGTGGTGGTTCCATAATGGTCTGGGCTGTTTTTACATGGCATGGACTCGGTCCTCTGGTGCAACTGAACCGATCATTGACTGGAAATGGATACCTTCAGCTACTTGGAGATAACTTACAGCCATTCATGGACTTCATGTACTCGAACAACGATGGGATTTTTATAAATGACAATGTGCCATGTCACCGGGCCACAATTGTTCGCGATTGCTTAGAAGAACATTCTGGACAATTCCAGCAAATGATCTGGCCACCTAAATCACCCAACATGAATTCCATCGAACATTTATGGGACATCATCGAGAGATCAGTTCATGCCCAAAACCCTGCACCGTCAACATTTTCACAATTATGGACGTCTATAGAGGCAGCATGGCTCAATATTCCTGCAGAGGACTTCCAACGACTTGTTGAGTCCAGGCCACGTCGAGTTGCTGCACTGTGCCAGGCAAAAGGAGGACCGACAAAATATTAGGAGGTATCCCATGACTTTTGTCACTTCAGTGTACTTTAAGAATTCTTACTCTGTTAATCATCATTAGGGCAGTATAATGGCCTAAATTTTTAGGAATTTTCTGAAATTTTATGGACATGAAATTTTTTCCTCTCGTTCTCGCTCTCTCTCTATATATAAAATCTAGAATTTTTAAATATTATTTGTTCCTTATGACAGATTATTTTCATATTTAGGTAATAATAACAACACTTTATTTAGAAATTATGCAAGAAATATACAGTAATTCTATTCCAAAATCCAAATTCAAGTTTTGAATGTTGAATTGCACCTAAAATTTCAGACCATATGTGCCCTCAGCTGAATGCACATATGGTCCAAAATTTTAACTCTCTTTATTGTTGAATAATTATTTATGTAGTCTGCTGTAGCATGTTATCAGCTGCATTAGTAGCTATAGCAAGAAAAAGCAAGCCATTAAACCATTTCTCAAGAAAGTGTTGGTTAATTTTGAGAATGTGCTTTGTAAGCAAAAAGAATGTATATGAAAGATGCAATGCTTCATGTGAATAAAAAATAACTGCACTCTGTTAAGCACAACTGCTTTCTGCTGTACCAAAATTTATTCATATTAAAATGTCATTAAAATAAATAAGAATCTTCACTTCATGCAACAATTTGATAATATTTTCAGAATTTCAATGGTTTGTACGTGTAAGAAGCCATTTAAAAATATGTAATATAATGCTTATTTAATAATGTAACCAGCAACATGGACCATTGCTTCATATAAATTCTTGAATGCAAAATTTCACAATTTCTATCAAGTTTGGCATTTCATTCCACAATAAAGTTGTCACTTTAATGTCATTTTATGAATGACAGGAGAAATTAATTATTAATTAATAATAAACATCATGAATTTAAATAATTGTTTCATAAGAAAAAATTTATTTTAATTAAATAAATTTAATTTAAATAAATTAATTAAATTTAAATAATTCTTTGCACCATTGTTGTTTGTTAAAATTAAAATTTAATTTGTTTAAATGAATTTAAATATATACTCACACATATCACTTGCTGTTATCTTTCATGCACACACATATATATATGTGTGTGTGTGTGTGTATGCGTGTGCATGTATATACATGAAAGATAATTAAGAATACAATTAGTTTGTTTAAGAAGTTTCAGTTTTAAAAAAATTCGCTTACAGTACAAAACAAATTTATTTTTCTATCTGCATACTTATACATTCTTACAGATTTTGTATTTAATTTGCTATTTTTAGGAGAATTCTGATTAAAATTGTTTTGTATCCCCGTGCAATGCAGCATGAGACTTATTTGAAGAGAAAGCTACGCCGGAAAAGTTAAAATACAGGAGCACACGCATTTAATAAATACATATCTCGTAATTGTACTCTTTTGCTTTCCAGAAAACTTGAGAGATTATGAGAAGTGTCTTGTGACAGATTAAAATGCTTATAAAAGCTGGAGGAAAACATCTCAGTTCAGCTGTTTACTAAGTTCTTGTGGTTTACTGTAGCAAATTCATGGTGAGACCGGATTAGCTTTCTCTGTTTTGAATTGAATTCTGTTAAATGTTTTAGTATTTTAAAATATAACTACTGTGAGATATTGCGATATTGTATGAACATCTCTGAGAAAATTTCAGCACTTTGTTTTATTTGTTGTGATAAAAATAAATTTTATTCACTTTTCACCGGACTTGTGCATTCAGTTTATTATGAACCCATACGCACACAACAATATCTACTTCATAAGTATCCTTAGAGTTAAAAATGAAAAATACCTTTGATACTTATGTAAATGGTTTTATCAAAACCTATGGACCATTCTCCAAAACACATATCTAATGTACATGGAACACTCTAAAAATATAGAGAAAGTAATTTTACCAAAAGTATATGTCAAAATCTGAAATATGCATATTAAATGTAAATGTTTAGCTAAAAACATTAGCTATATTAAAAAAACCACATAAATTTACCAGCACAGCATAACAACCATTTCTCAGGTTTTCAAAAACTGCCATTGCTTTCTAGAGGGATAAAAAAAGAAAAAAATATACAAACTGATATTAATGTAAAATGACAACAAAAATATACAGTTATGTATGTTTCTTATAAACACTTGAGTGTATTTTCCCTCTCAATAACAAATCTGGAAGCTAAAATAATATATACTTTATATAATACACTATAAAAATAGAAATTTACTTTATAGGTATAATAGACTTCATTTTACAAAAATACTTAACTTTTCAGTATCAGTATACTGAAATCAGTATCAGTATCAGGTAAGGATTAATGATAAAAATTACAAAATTTGAAATTTTTCCTTTAATTAAAGAAAAATATTAGACCTGAAATTCAGCTTTTAATTTTCTTCACAAAGGATAAAACACTGGTTATCAAATTAAATATGAATATTTGAATACTTATGCATTTACTGCAAAATACAATGAAATATCAATGGACATTATAAAAATTTAATTTATCACTCAAATGATACAAAGCCCATCAGCAGCTGAGCAGTATAGTCGGTGAACACTGATATGCTGAGTAACATCCATGTATGCTTATAGGGCTTTACTTGATTAGGAACTATTAACCTCATCAGACAAAGCAAATTATCACTATGTCTAAAATAACTAAAAGCTATGAAAAGGTTTTAATAACCTTTTTTACTATATGGAGATTAGAACATAAGTGCATATCCTGGTGCTAATAATACCAATCATAATTCATCGTTACACAACTAAAGTAACAATCAAATTTCAATTTAAAATGTAGTCAGAACTATACAATTAAATTCTACGTTAAGCTGGCTCAGAAATTCTAACAAGCATATCAAATCTAAATGCTGGCAGGTGATATTGTGCAGCCAAATAATTACCACTTATCAGAGCTCGCAGAACTAATGTAACATGCCTGCACAGCCCAGGAGCATGCTTTATCTTACAATACAAAAACCTCAGTTTAAATTACTATCTAACTATTTGCATTCTGGTGAGAAAATGGAAAGAAGAAGGTTTAGTAAGTGCTCAAATTATAAATAACTGTTTAGTTTAAATAATAATAACTGTACACACTGAATTTGATACAGGTTCGAAACTCAGCCAAAAGAGTTGGCTGTATGGCCATTTTCTTGGTTTTTCTCTTCTGCAATGTGGATATGAGCCAGTTTCTGTTAGAAAGTTCTCTACAAAAACATATCTTCCCTTAGGCAGATAGCCCTCATGTTTTTTGCCATAATCAATAATTCAAATCAAACCAAACCAACCGTCATACACACACATACATGAGTTGTTCAACATAATGGAAACAGTATGCTTAAAAGTGTTAATTTTGTTTCTACTCGTTGCTTAGTAAATTTTACATGTATTCACTCCTTTTTTGTATAAGTATCTTATACATATTTTCAAGGTTGTGTAAAATTGCAAATTTCAGTTGCAGTTTGTAAAATGTATAATAAAAGTTTGCAGTAAAAGAAAATGAGTGGCTTGACAGAGTTCCGAAAAGGTCAGATTGTTTTTGTCCTATTCATGGCATATTGTAACCTCAGTTGTAAAATTACTAAGGGTATGTAGAAATACTAAGCAATGATACACACACTGGTCAATAAATTAGAAACCTTTGAGATTTTTATTTAAATGCGTGCTAGGGATGAAGTATGCAAATTTTTTTTATGACGTGGGTTACACGTGGTTGGAATGCTAGTGTATGTAAGGTATAACAGTACTTTTCAGGATGAATGAAGTAAAATGGGAAAAATGACAGATCTTTCACCATTTGAAAAAGGGCTCATTGTTGGTGCCCGTTTACCATTGGCCTCTATTTCGAAGACAGAAAATCTCACTGGGTTGTCAAAAGCAGCCATATCAAAGGTTTTCAAAAGCTGGAATCAGAACCCACAGTCCTTCTCTAAAAGACATAACTATGATTCGAGCACAATTTTCCAGGAGAGTAATTAACATTGTCTCTGAAGAATTGTACTGCAGAACAGGGACTCTACTGTGCTTCAACTGACACAGATCATCAACCAAGGCTCTTCCCAACAGATTTCAGCTCAAACCATGCACAGAGAATTGCAGAGAATAGGAATGCATAGTCGGGTGCATATCCTTTTGGAGAAAACCACTCATTTCTGCCTGACATGCAGGAATATGTTTGCAGTGGTGTTGGGAAAGAATACACTGGACATCTGAGGATTGGAAACAGGTAATGTAATTGGATTAATCATGCTACACCTTATTTTGCATTGATGAAAAATGCCGAATTAAGCGAGAACCCCGTGAAACCATCTTACCTTACTTGCACTGTGCAAGAGTCTGGCAGGAGTATCATGATACGGAGCATGTTCTGCTGGCATGGACATGATGCCCTGGTGTTCACCGAGTGTAAACAAATAGTCATGAAATACCTAAATATACTGGCAGATCAAGTGCACCCTACAATGTTACATTTTTGCCCTGATGGTGACAGATACTTCATGGATGATAATGCAATTATACATTGTGCCAGAAGTGTTCAAAATTGGTTCGCTGAACATCAGTCTGACTTCCAATACCTTCCCTGGCCACCACATAGCACAGACCTTAACCCCACAGAAAATGTGTAGGATATGGTAGAAAGATACATCCGACAGACAGCACTCTCCTCTTCCATCTAATTTATAAGATCTAAAAAGCTGCATAGTCAATACATGGTTTCTCTGGATGCAAATGCATTCCAGAAGCATGTAGACACGATGCTCAAATGAATCAGAGCAGTTACCCATGTAAAACATGGTCCAATAAAATATTTGTCTTGTGTTTCTAATTCATTGGCCAGTGTGTGTAGTATACAATATTCATTGTAAAACATCGCAGGTGAGATACAGTTGTGGAAGGAAAACAAAACTTATTTACAGAGTTAGAAAAATGTTAAAGAGGACTGTAAAGTAACTGTTAAGTTTAATATGCTTAACAAAACACAGTTCTGACACATACATTAAAAGTGAACTAAATAAACATTACTGCAGATCTGCTATGTATTGTTTTTCAAAACTTCTTGTTTCTCAAGTAAATGCAAAACAGAGACTGAAATAATGATAAGAATATAAAAGACGAAATGCTAACAAATGGAAACAAGTACTGTAGTATTTTTTTCTGATGAGCCATCTTTCCCATTATTCCCCACCTCAAGATAGATTCATGTGAGGAGAATAGAAGCTAATAATCCATGCTGGGCACTTCTTGCTGTCAGACATAGTGGTGGTTCAGTTGCACTTTGGGAAGTCATTGCATGGTTTCTAGTAGGTCCAAATATCATCTTACATGGAAGAATAAATAACCATGTAGAGTCATAAAGTATTTTATGCTGGAGACGTGAAAAATAAGCAATCCCCTCACCAGGACTCAAACCTGGACCTCTCGAATACGTGTGCTAACATTATCCCCCGAAGGCATGCATAAAAGATGGTGAAAATACCTTATAACCATTTTATGTGACCACTTCTACTATGTGGTACAGCTACTCTTTCCTATGCATAAATATAGCTTTCAAGATGATAACCCTTCTCTTCACTGAAGTTAAATTATTTAACCATGGTTTGAAAAATATGAAGTTAGAATGGCAAAGGCATTCTTATACTATAGTAGATATGCAGCTGTTAATTTTTTTTATAAGTTTCCATTGTTTTGGATAATTCCTGTATTTATCTATAAAGGAAATATGCATCCAAACTATTCAAAAATGTCAAGTAGGGTTTTAAAAAGAAACTTAAATTATATATATATATATATATATTAAAAAAATCCTTTTACAAAAGACATTTATATCAACAGTATATCATTATAATAAATATTACTCCTATGTTAATTAAACTGGATTGATTTTTTAAAAATTACTACAGTTCTTTATTATAACATAGTGTAATGATTTCTAAATTGCATTATTTATTTTTGAAGGGCAGCTGCACTTTTGACAGAGTGAGAGAACAGTTATATTTCTAGAGAGAAAAATGAATAACAGTTTGGGGAGAAGCAGCAGAGAAGAGAATGATGAGTAAATAAAATAATTTCAGACATGGTCAGAGTAAAATAATTTGAGCAAGAAAAACAAAAGACTATTGGGCTCTTATCCCAATAATCTCTCAAAAGGTTATTGCAGATGACCTCTTTATTTGTTTTAAGACAAAAAATTTTGTTTATAAGCTGCTATTTAAAATATTTCCTAAGTTTAATTCACTTTACATTAAAGATGTTAGTGTATGATAGAGTGAATTTAATGCCTCAACTAATAAACCATGCCTAGTAGATAATTTAAATATAATCCTTATAGGATACATCTAGCCTATTTTTGATTATTACATGGCTCTGAAATAACTGAATTTCAGTAAAAGAATTTGGCGAAAATTTTTACAAATATTTCATTACAAAATAAATACCTGATTATATACAGCAGCAACTTCAAATGTATCTATCAGTAGTCCATTGAATGGTTGGCACTTATCAGAATAAAGTTTGTATAAATAAATTTCAAATGTTTGGAAACATGATTCAAATCCACAATGAGGTTCAAAAATTATAGATATACTCTTCCTGAAAATAAATATATTATCATACAGTATAAAATAAACATTCAGAATTAATATTTGAATTTTTTTTTTCAAATATCCAATTTAGGAAAAACTTACCTTAAAGACATAATGTAATTAAAAATATATTCTACTATAAATATCTATCCTGAACACTAATGTTATAAACAATCTAATGACTGTCAGTCAAATATATACTTTGTGTATGAAAACTCAGAAACATGGATCATAGAATTTAAAAAAAACCCGAATTTTATAATATGTATATGTATTGTCCATTTTTTGGTGTTGAAACAAATTAAGAAAGAAGTAAGTTAGCTATAATGGGACTAATATCAGTCAATCTCAAATGGTCAGAAATTGCAGCAAAAATAATTTTAACTAATTTATATATATTTTACAAAAACGATGACAAAATTAATCTTTTTCTTCTACTTTTTCCCCCGGATTTTTTAAATTCTGATGTAACCAGAAAGTAGCACTAATATACATAAATATTTTGCATAAACTCTATCATGAAGGTCTCCATTTTTCTAGACTTGTCCACATTTTCAAAAATTAAATTAAGGCCCATTTTCAAATTTTGCTTACATATGCTGTACCAGATAAAAAGAAAGAAAATTCAAGATAAATTAATATTTAAAGTTTAATTTTAGAATGCATTGCATAAAGGTTACTATAAATATATTTCTACAATTTAAAATATAAAAAAATCAATTGAAATTTTTTAGATGTAAATCTTAAAAAATGTGATCATATGCAAAAATGCCTGTTCCTTTCAAGTTTTATTATTATTCAACCTCTTTGTTTTGTAATTCAATTTATTTTTTTGAAATAAAGAGGTTTAATTATTTTAAATGTGAACTATTAGTATGTTATATTCATGATAAAAATTTATCACAGAACTTTTTTTTTCTTTAGCAAATCAATAAAAATAACTTATATAAAAAAATAGGAAAAATACTACATTAGTTTGAAGGAAAATCAATATGCGTTCTTACATTTTACATGATGTTCTTTTAGTTGAGCTAAGTGTAGGAAAGACAAAGTAGCTATCATTAAAAACATATAAAACATAACAATGAAATGAAAGATTGCTCTTCTTCAAAAGCTAAAATTCTTCCACTTCACGTTAAATCCATTACCTTGAGATTATTTTACCCACAATTAGTTTGTAAATTTGCCTAAAGGGGGCAGTACATATTCAGTAACATAGATAAACTAGTCTAACTTTTATCTATGGCACTTGATCAACTTTTATCTATGTCACACTGCAAATTCAAGGTCAAATTTTTAGACCAAAAACACTGACCTTTTTACATATGCATAGAAGCTGCACATTTTGACGGTACACTCTGCACACACACACACACAAAAAAAGTATAGTTCTATGTATCTCATTCTACTGAGCTGATTGACAAAATTTAACTTTTATTTTTTAGGTCTTGAAAACAACTTAGGATATATGTCAGTATTATATATAGTATTGTAATAACATATGTATTCAGGACTTTTTCTGAAGTAGCATATTTATTTTTTTCCATATTTCAATTCTACGACTCATTATGTCCAAATATTAAATTTTGTAAAATTTGGTGAAAAACTTACTATAAATTAAAAAAAATTATCTAGGCTCATTTTTTCAGTTTGCACCAAGAATAATTCGCTTTGTGAAATTCTTAATTTATAGTAACCTATTTTCCTTTCCTTTTTTCATTATGCATAAGTAGAAAAAAAAGAGCATCATTCATTTTTCAAATAATTTTTTGAATTTAAATAAATGCTTATTTTATTTATTTATTTTCTAATATTTTGAAAATTTCTTCTTTTTGGTCTTAATGATATGCTGGCAATCAAATTATTCAATTAAAAAATCATTTTTCAGAAATGAATTATTTTTTACACTTTTATTTCCAACAATTCTGTTACATCATATAATCCAGAGATTTTGCTAAAAAATCAAAATTAAGTTGAAAATCCCATATAAATTTCATTTAAAAGATTTTTTCCATTCTATCTGATGGTGAAAACAGTGAAAATTAGGAAAGTTATAATTTTTTCCTCATACAAAGATAAGCGCAAGAAATCACTTCAATGTTAAATTAGAAAGAAAAAAAAAAAAAAAAAGTAAATTCAGTTTCGTAAAACTCTTTTCACTGCGTGGTATTACCACTCCCAATGACTATATGTGCAAAATGTGAGCTCGATAGTCTATTAGGGAACAGTATAAAAACAAACAAAGCAAAGTTTTGACCATAGTTGGTAGAAGGGGAAATGACCAAGTTAAATAAAAGCCTTGTTTTGGAATCTGAAAAGTTAAAAATTTTAAAACCATTTTTTTTAAACTTGAAATTTTAAAATCATACACATAATCAAATAATAAACAAAAGTCAATTTTCGAAAATTTGCTAAAAAATCAGAAATAATGTAATAATTTCATATAAATTTCATTTAAAAGAGTTTCTTTTTTCTGCACTATTTGATAGAGCAAATAGTAAATTTCTGAGATCTTTAGTATGTTCATTAAAACAAAGTTATGCATGAAAAATTGTTTAAACATTAAATTGAAGAAATCTAAATAAAATTTTTAAAAAAATCACTTTATCACAATGCACTCTTTTCCACAAACTGCGTATGCATGAAATTCGATCTTGATAGCTTAATAGGAAGAAAGTTAAAAACCTATGATAAATTTCTGACTATAGTAACAAACACCAGAAGTGAATTGAACACAAGCTTAAAAGAATTGTTTCCTTTTATGTTTTTCATAACCTTAAAATTTGCTTTTCATATTTTTTTCTTATTGAGGAACTTAATTATTTGAAAGTTGTTGATACTGAGAAAAGTCTTTATTTCGCTATTGATAAATATTTCAAAAATTTTTCATAACGTTTATATATCTCCCATTAAAAATAACCATGATGAGTTCCTTATTATCCTCATCTTTCTTTCTGTTAGATATAAAATTGTTTGGATTTTCTACAAATTCACCTTTCAAGTTATTTTCCCTTCAAACTGTAAAACTAATTTCTCAGTGGGTGATATTTGTTTTAAAATATTTTAAGGTAATCATATCTTCTCATTAACTTTAACCATTAGCTTTTGAAGAATAGCAATCTTTTATTTCATTTTTACATTCTATATGTTTTTAATGATAGCTACATTGTCTTTCCTACACTTAGCTCAACTAAAAGAACATGTAAAATGTAAGAATGTATATTAATTTTCTCCCAAACTAATGTAGTATTTTTCCTCATTTTAAATTCTTCAGTATTAATACTCGTAGGCATATTACAAACTCAAAAATAAATTCAAGTTATATGTGTTTTAAAGCAATTTTATTACCTTTTAATTAAGTATTATATTTCTGAATATAAGCCCATCTGCTCATAAGCAGAGAGTGCATTTTTTCTTTAAAAATTTACCCTGAATTAAAACACTGTATGTAAGCTAAAATGGGGAGGGGAAGTTACTTTAAAACATGTCACCATGAATTGTGAAAAATATTACCAAAATAAGTAAAATGAGTGGAATAATTTTGTTTTACAGTGTTTTACTTACAGCAATTTCCAGTGACAACTATGATAGTTTCTATTTTAGTAACTTTATCCAAAGTTACATTCCTTTCTATTAATTTTTGTCTTGTATATGATCTGTGGTATCTGTAGTCTTATTTTCATTTTGGCAACGATGTAACAAACTAGTAATATAAACAATTTTGAAAATAGAACAACTCATTTCCATAAAATGGATAATTCATTTAAGATAAAATTTTCCATAATGAAATAGAAGCTAAAAGAAATAGAAAAGTGCTATATCTGGCGATTTATTGCTTGCATCCAGCTAACAAAAAAGTATCTACATTTTTTGCAAGATTAATGGATCCTATCTAAGACTATCCACATTATTTAGGAAAGTTCCAAAAATTCTCAGCTTATACACAGTTATTAAAAATATTTTAGGAAAGGAAATATAATAAAACTTTTTTAAAATTTTAATTACATAAAACATACTTTAATGAATTACCAATAATCACTGAAGTAGCATTCCAATTTTGGCAAATAGAATCAGGAGCTCGAAACATAAAATTTTCAGGACAGTCTGCAAAATGTTTATGCATTTGTTAATGGAGCATGCCATTAAAAAAGGGGGGGGAGTTAAATCACTGAAAAAGATTTTTGGTACGTTAAAAGCTATACAGTATAATAAATTAAAATAAACACTAATTTAATCTGGTATTTAAAAAACTACTTAAACATGAATTAAAATCTGGAGTGGGGGAACAAGTCACATTACAGATAGCTCTAAAATGAAAATACAAGATATAAAATATGGAAACAATTAAAATTTAATCACTCACAGAATTCAAAAAATTAACCTACTATCAAAAAATACTGCCTCAGAAAATTTCAGTGGTATGTTACTTTCGCATTTCTTATTCACAGTGAGAGAAACCTGAAATGGACATTAAATATACAAACATTGCATAAGCAGTATATTAAATATTATATGATAAATTCGTATATAAATACAAATAGATTATTATTATCTTATATACAGAATTAAAGCTCTGTTAATGGATACTCTGTTTTAGCATACTTTCCACATTACCTATTAATGCACACGTCTTCAATACCTGCAGCCAAAGTATAATACAGTACAAAGTCCGTAATCTGGACTCATCCGGACTTCGATGATTCCAGATTAGGGGTTTTTCCGGATTATAGATCATCAATTTAAATCTAGTAAGATGGCATGCAGAAATTATACAATTAAAAATATGAAACCATAATTTATGAAATAAAGAGCAATTATGATCTAAAGGTATCAAAATTTACAAAAATAAAAAGCTTAATATTTATTTGTTTACTTTAGTAAACATTTCTATCAATGTAAGTTGCTTTGTTTTTTTGTGCTAATATTTTCTCTTTAATTCTATAAACATACATAATTTCTTGTTCAGTTACAAAGTTCCACTGTTCAAGTTCTGTAATTGCTGTGTCGAGAAGAATACTGACTAACTTGCCAATCGAAATTTTTTTTTTTTTTTTCATTTTCAATAACATTTCTCTGTTACTTTCTTGACTATCAGAAGCGCGAATGGCTAAACGCTTTAACACTCGCATGTGTAGTGGACACGCGCATTAAATGCGCATGCATAAGTTTGTGGATTTGAGGTCCGGATTATAGATCATTTCGGATAATGGACGTCCTGATTACAGACTATGTAGTGTAGTACACTTTCATTCAGTGATATTCTCTGGCAATAGACAAAAAAAAAAAAAAAAAAAAAAAAAAAAAAATGTTGATCCTATGAATGTTCACTAACAAGTGGTTTGACTGTATATATATCATAATGGAAGTAATAACATACATACACACACAAAATTCATAAAATTAACCTGACATTTTAAAATTAATGAGTGACAAACATTACCTAAGTTCACTTCTGATTCACAAGTATTTCGATCAGATTTTTCATCAACAGATTTGTTACCTACTTGTTAAACTGTGTTTGAGGTAAAGTGATCATTAAACATCTACTGATATGTCAGGAACATATTTAAAGCTAGATAAAACCATAGGATTCATAGCAATATCAACTGTGCTTACATCTTAAAAAAATTAGACATTCCTAATTTTCTGCAGAGCAATGTTTTCACAAAGACTGTATTCCAACTTATTCTTCAAGCCTGCAGTTTTCTCACTGAGAATAATAGACAAGTTTTTCATCACACCATCAAACAAATGCACAGAAGATACTAGACCTAGATTTAGTTTCCCCAGAGAAGTTATTGAAGCTGGCACAAGAAGTGTGAAAATATGAATGGAAGATTGTTCTTTAAACAGATGTCTGTTTGAATAACTTTACAAAGATTTTTAATTCTCTTCATCAAAAGTGTCACCAAAAACAACAAACTGCACTTAACCATGTTCTCCACCTCGTCAGAAATGAATTGTAAGGCAATGGTATAAAACTCCTGCAAACTATAAAAACTGTTTCTATAGCAAGCAATTTAAGAAAGTGTTTTTATATCTTAAATAAGTTTCACACTGTTTAGTGCTATAAAAACGTTTTTGACAATCTTACGCAACATGTGTGCCAAGCACGAAAGAGCAAGTATCTTTCCTACTCTTTTCATGTATGCGGCTGCATCAGTCAGAAAGAGAATGTTGCTGTCATTCTCTTTCTGACTGATGCAGTCGCATACATGAAAAGTGTTTAATTACATTATGCCAAAGTAAATTTCAAGCAATGAAGAAAGCTTAAGAAACTGAAAAACTAGTGAATTTTTCCCACCATTCATGTTGTGAAAATAACAATATGGTTTCCATAACAACATTACATGGGAATCTGCCATTGGCATTGGTTGTTTCATCAATGGGAATAAAAGTAATGCTGTTTTCAACCTCACTTCAGGTATTCTTAACTGCATCAATGTATGCAGCACATAAATGTGCTTTTCTTACAGTAGATTTGCAGAGCATTTCTTATTTCAAGCAAGTTTTTAAAAATTTTTCAGAGATAGATTTTCCACTTTCCAAAGCGGATATCAGCTAACAGACATTGTACATGAACTTGTTATAGTGTGAAGTTGCTGTAAACACTGGTAAAAGTGCGATGTTTTACTGGAACTGCACTTCCTGTTAATTACAGATTTGTGCTTTACTGTATTTAAAGGCTCTGTAACAAAATAATACATTACAGCACAAACTTTGTAAAACATCGCTAACATGGTAAAGATGACTATTCCAAATTCTTTCAGAAAATTAATTATTTTCCCCTTCAGTGAAAATCCTGTCTTAGATAATGCACAAAGTGACGCTTACAGACAAATGCAACCAAGAGAAGAAAAATATTTTTGTTAGAATCCAGTTGTCATCTTCCATGGCTGTTTACTCCATGAATTCATGCTACTTACTTGCTAAGAATGCATACTTCATGCTAGGAATAATCCCCTTTCCCCAAGAAAACAGCAAATCTTTTTTAGTTATCTTAAATCACTGGTGACTTGCATTAATTGATAATGATAAATAGTGTCACTTGTATTTCTGGTAGGAAAGTGAATGAAGGCAAAGATGCAAAATGGAAAATATGGACAATGACCTCAACACAGCATTTTCTCATAACTTTCAGTTTTTAGTGATGATGTTTAGATGTTACTTTCATGAACTCAATTTAAATCTCTTTCTCTATTCCACTGTTTTTTCACTTTTTTCTTGTATATTTCAAATACTTAAAAATAATTAAGCTCGTTGGATAAAGAAATTTGCTGGTGGAAATGACTGCAACAATAAAAGAAGAAATGTTTATTCTCTGTGAATTTACTGTTTTATTCTCATATATTAAATACTTTTTTGAAACCTTAACTTCAAAGAGAGCTTAAATGAGACACAAATGCTTTCACTTTAGGAAGCCTTGAATTAAAATAACTCATTGGGTTTGCACATTTTCCATCTCAGTTTGGATTGTTTTTCTTGAAAATTTGACACCAGCACAAATTAGCACAAAATATTTTTCTTCAAGATTTTACTCATAAAGAAAACAGACATCTATATAAATAGAAAATGGAAACCACATAATAACGATTGCTATTAGATTTTTATGCAAAAACACAAGCTGGTATTTGCAAAAGAAAAAGACAATAATAAAGCACTTTTTCATAATTCAGTTTATATAAAATGCAGATAATTATGATTGATTAAATTTTAATATTTGAAGTGGCTTGTATTTTGAAAGAAATCACTAATTTTTAAATATTAACTCTATATTAATTCCTTTGTTTCCCTAAAATTTGTATATGATAGAAGTCAAATTCGTATTCAGAAATGTGAAATAAATAAGAAACACCCAGAAATCTAACAAACAGGAAAAACTGTTTTTAAATACTGTACAGTTAAAAAAGCCTCTACAAAAATCACTTTGTAAAGAAAAGACAGTACACTGGATTGCCAAAATGCACTCCAGTTGTGCACAGTCTATTCTTTTTTTTTTTTTTTTAATTACTTTGTTTCTATGACTTATTTTAAAAAAAGCATTGCAGACTGGGTTAGGTCTGTAAGTACTTTTAAAACTGAGCAGGATTGGCTTCTTTTTCCAAAATAGCTTTTATGACTCCTTTGAGTCTGTGGCGGCATCTTTATTAGATTAGGGAACCATATCTCATTATTGGGGGGGGGAGGAAAAAAAAGCATTCCTTTCAAGTTTTTAATGCACAGGCAAGAATGGGTAACAGAAACAAGAACATTAAAGAATGCCACATTATTCCAACCGAAAAAAAATGGCCTGACAGAGGCTCCGAGCAAATGCAGTACATTAAGACAATATGACAGAGTTTATAATAATCATGGGCTATGCTATAATTCAACAAGTTTTTAATCATAGGGAAACAAAACAAACAAAAAAGGATTCTGGATAAATTTTACCATCTGCACTTTTTTAAGACAAGTTACTTTTGGAAAAGAAGCAAGGTCTGGGTTATGCAGGTTACAATGTCATATTTAATTTCTTTACAACAGTTGCAAAGGACATATACATGTTAGAAAAACACATAATGAATAAAATGCTGACCTTGAAAACTGTAAAAGTGATTAGACACACAACAGGGAAAAAAAAAAAAAAAGAGAGAGACCAAAATATATTTCTAACATTAACATACAACATTTCAGGGGAGTTTCCTTAGATGTTAAAATAGTAAATACTCTTTATAACAGTAAAGAATCAATATTGAAGAAAAAGTCATAAACCAGGAGTATAAACCTTTAAAAAGTACAACTACCAGCATGTAAGCTGACTAAACTGCAAAAGTTTTTTTTTTTTTTTTTTTTTTTTTTTTTTTTTTTTTTTTTTTTAACTACAGTGGGCACCTGCTTTTCTAGATTGACCACTTACATTAGACTGCAAAAGGTCTTCTGAGTGTAATTTTTTGATAGCTAATAGAGCACTTCAGAAACAAAACAAACTTAACAGTAAAAGTTAAAATAAGAGGCAAAATGGCAGAAAACAAATCACAATGAAAACAGTATCACATGAAGTAGCAGTTTGTCACCAAGTTCTTCCTATAATGAATAGCATATTTGGACACTGGATTCACAAATTGAGATTTCATTAGCAATAATCAATCATACAGTAAATGTCTAACTGTTTAGTCCACAGTCAATAAAAAATCCATTCAACTGTCAAATGATATATATGGGACCAACACATATCATCATTACATTTACCTTAAAGTTGCATTTAAAATGATGTGCTGTTTTCTCTGAAATGTTAAGATCCTTTTTTTTTTTTTTTTTTTTTTTTTTTTTTTTTTTTTTTTTTTTTTTTTTTTTTTTTTTTTTTTTTTTTTTTTTTTTTTTTTTTTTTTTTTTTTTTTTTATTTTTTTTTTTTTTATAATTTTTTTTTCCCATTGAGTTTAAGACATGAGGACAGTTTACAGCAAACACATGGACAATTAGTCTGCTTGGAATATGAAGCTAGAAGAATGCACTACAGCATTACATTATGGGTCATCTCTTCTAAGAAAGAAACTATAATTAGGAAACGAAGAAAGCAAAAAGCAGAAAAAAAGTACATACAGACACAAAGCAGCAGCAAAGAACCACAAGAGGTTAACAGCAGAAAAGAAAAAAATAATCACAAGGGAACAAAAGAGGATCCACAAGATTTGTTCCCTTGTGATTCTTTCCTCCTTCTCTTCTGCAAAGGAAAGACAACTAGTCACAAGACTCATAATTTCTCAAATGATCACATGTGTTGTGAATTTCAAGGAAAATGTAAGTTTGATTGTCTGACATTTTCCCTTAAAATTTCATTAATAATACACTTTTGATTAAAAGCTGACAACAATAAGATATATAGGACATGCAGCATTCATGGGCCTTAATATCTTACTTTAAATTGTATTTTTCAGAAGAATTTTTCAATCCCTAAACATAACTTATATAACTTTCACAATTCAAAATGATCTTTAGAAAGAAAAAACATTTATAAAAACTTCTAAATAATGTTCATATATATATTTAAT